GTGTAATTAAATAATTATAGCATCAAGTCGATATAACTATTTTTACTGGGTCATTGTTATTAAATTGTAACTAATGTGAACATTATAACTAACATATAATTAACCAGTGTGTATTATTGATCAATTATCATAATATATTTGATGACTTTAAATATTAAAGTGTTATTAATATAAGAAATAATGAAGAAGTTGAGGTTTCTATCTATTGAAAAAAGTAAAGATGCAAATATTCATTCTGAATAGATAAGAAAGGCTCAAGTATCCATTTTAATCTACGAATAAGTTAGTAATGCACTCGATCAAAACAGGTCGAGTGAAGAGAATATTCACTTTCATAGGACAAATTTTACATCCTTTGCCTTTAGTCATCCAAATATCTCAAATTTCAATAACATCAGAAGTTGCAAATATTTTATTTTATATCTTTCCAAAACATTGAACTTCAAATATTTATCTTACTAAATTCAGATTTATGATGAGTTCACGGTGTTATCATAGGAAAGCAATCATCTGAAAACAAGCTTTTATCAGTTTAATAAAAGCATACAAATTTTTTCAGCAGCAAAAAGTTTATTGTGATGAATGGAAGTGATCTGAGAAAGACAGAAAGTAACAAAATATTTCGGTATTTTACACATTGTGTGAACTACAAACTATTCTACATTTAGATGTTTCTCTTTTCCGCTTCACATGGAATAATTCGTGAACAGCATTTGACTTCAATGAAAACTATTATTAAATTTCAAGATTATTCTGCATCATCACTTTCTTCTTGTAGTGTTGCGTAATCTGAATTGCAGGAAACATTTTATTAAAATGTGAAATTCAATATTTTACATGCAGTTATAAAGTCTACTAATTGAAATCGAAAGCAAGAGATGCTTTTCCTGAAAAAAATATTGAGAGCTTCTGAATTTCGTTTTCTTCTGAATATCATAACTTCACTCCATCACAATTTTCAAGGTCAATCAAATATGTAGCCTATTATGCTTCTCAAGATCACTTCTGCAATCATTTATTCGTAATCATACCTCTTTGTACAAGTAACTTATGAATATTCATTCAATTAACGAACAAATATTCCAAATTTGGATAATAGTATAAATTAATAATTATTGATACTTTAGCAGTAGTAGCAATTTTAATGATTACACATAGTGTAATTTTGACTACAAACATGTGATCATTGTTTTTGGTGCAAACGTCCACTATGAATAATTTTAGTGTGCATTCTTTTCAGTTAAATTTGAGTTCATAACAGATTGAACGCTATTTCGAACCTTTATCATCATACTTACTGCAGAAATAACTAAATTTTTGGTTTATAAGTTGCATATATTTTTCAAAAAAGTCAGTGGAATTTCAGAGAAAAAATATATATATATAAATTGAAAAGTAGGGACAAGGTATAACTGAGACGAATACTTCATTTGTTATATTTGCTGATTTTCAAGCTCTGAAAATTAACAAGTATAATCAAGTACTCGTTTCACACTCAAAGTTGCTAATATTCAAATTTCACACTCAGCCTATGTTTGAAATTAACATTTATCCACTCAAAAATTTAGTAATTTGAATTCTCATTTGCAAAAAGCCACAAATCACTTGGAAGAACTGTTTAACATCTCCTCACCTTGAACTGTATTTAGCAATTCATTTCGCTACTACGCTGCCCATTGATATTGACATCTAACAATTAATTTCTTTAAAAAGTAAGGTTATACAGCTATATTTCAATTTTGAATCAGAAAAATAAAATATTTTTCTGATTCAAAATAAAATAAAATAAAAATTCATTTTGGGAAGCAAAAACAGTGGTTAACAGATAGAATGCATAATAAAAGATTTTTGGAAATTACATAAATGCAACCAGAATTATCATTCAGCATCTTATTCTATCAATTGATCGCATATTTATAATCACGAAAAACAATTCATAGTTCTGTGTTATTTAATAACTATTAGTTAATAAAACAAGCCCTTTATCATTTATAATTCTTCATATCAAAGTAAATACGCTTTAATGATTGCATATTCAAATAAGTGAAACAAAATTTGTTGAAAACTTTCCATTGTTGGCAACCATAAAACATACAACTTGTGCATCATTCACAAATAAAATAATAATTCTTGATGAAATGCAAATATGGTTTGTGATTTTTCTGAATAAGTGAAAATAGTTTTAAAGATTTTTGCTAGTTTTTGTTCTTTTAAAATTAGTCCTCATGTGATTTAGCAGCTAGTATCGAAGCATTTCATATAAAAATTATTTCACCAAACTTCTCACTTTACAGTTTTTTAATGAAAGTAAATCATCACAATTGAGAGATGAAAAGCATTAAATTTCTTGGATTTGGTTTTTTTCACCTTATTAGCTTTAGCTCCCTACCAACAATTTCACTATCTAAACACAGTTGTAACAAAACTTGAAAAAATATTTACGGGCTCTTCTTCAGTAGGTCACAATAATTAATCCAATAAAAGACGAAGAAATATGTGTCGATGAAAAATTTTTCGGCATACAATAGTTGTTTGAAATTTGTCAACTAATGAGAATAGAAATATTATTTGATTGGTAATACGTGTATTCAATTCTCCGAGATAATTTTTGTAAAATAGTAATTTCAATCGTTTATTTATTGTCGCAATAAAATATTTCTTGACAAGTAAATACAGTAAAATGAATGTAAAAACCTTTCTATGACATTACCTCAAATTTAAAGGAGATTGAAAAACTTTGTATTGAGGAGTCTAGTCATTAATCAAGAGAAATAATTCATTAGATATACTAAAGAGTTTTTCGTTCGCAAAAAGTTCGTCGAAAGGGTATACTCTGTTTTGTTTAGTTCTTGGAAATGGGTCAAATTTCATGAACTTTGAAAAGTTTGAAACCAGATTCCGATATGTAAAAAGTGTTTAAGTAAATGATAAATTGCTACAGAAATGCTTAATTTAAACGGAAATTGATGGAGAAAAAACAATTCTTTCAAAAACTAATTTCAACCACATTTTTCATGCAACAACACTATTAAAAGAAATTAATACCGAGAAGTTTCAAAATGTTCCTACTAAAATAGAATTTAAACAAAGTTAATGTCTTACACATTTTTTAAGATATCACAACTCAGCACATTGTTGGTAGGGATAATGCCCTCTACATTTTTTAAAGTGTCACATTTTTATCGCTGCAGTTCTCATTTGAAACTTTCGTTTCCAAACATTTCAACCATTAATTTTACTTGCTGGAGTGAAAACTGAAAGCAAAATCAAACGAAAATTATAAACTGATTTCATTTCTCCACCTCGCTCTCCCGTTATCTTTTAACTTCTCTGGGGAGCAGGTCAATGTGGTGTCAACTTTTTCTGATTACTTTTTGTGTATTCTTTATTTGCACATTGCTTTGCCACTACGAAGTAGAGGTCAATCTTATCAACCTTCCACTGTGGTTCCCACATGACTATTACTTTTAAACTGACATTTCCCTATCGAAGAGCAGACTATTAATAGATCGCATCAATAAAAATTGACTTTAACATTTGAAAATAATGCAGAAGCAGTTGACATTGAAAGTTTACTGCATGGGAAAAATTGTCGCATTAAATCAATTGATTTGTATGCCTAGTCTACCGATTTTAGAAATGGTAAGCTTCATGCACAGTCTGTCATTTTTAGAGAATGATTTTGAAGGAAAAAAATGCTCAGTTTGAAATGCATATGGGCATGGATTATTTTGAGGTGTCCAATTTTGAACATCAAATTTGAAATTTATACTTTCACGAATGCATGACTCTCATCTAGCTGTTTCTTGTTCTCGAACGGCACTTGAAGATTTTAGTTTGCACTAACAGAATTCTTGCACAATATTCAGCAACCGTAAACTACAAATTTTTGAATTTACAATTTCCTCTGCGCAAACAAATGCTTAATATCTGTTTTAATATTAAGAGTAACTTAAGGTTCCATTAAGACCTATGAAATCATATATCCAATTATATCCAAATACACAATTTCACACCAATTTGAATGCAAATTTCAACCAAAAAGAAAATTTTTAACTTTAGTTTTGAATTTTCATTACCTGTTTAGGAATAAATTTTCATTACCTTTTAGAATAAAATGAAATGTTTTAGTCTAAAACTTGCACAGAAAATGAAAATGCTGCTTATCATGACATCCTCAAAAATTTTGAAATTGAAGTCAACATGATGCACCAATAGTAAATTTATATTTCAGTAAAGTACAAAAATGACGATAATGTGTATTTCAGTAAAATATTATATGATTACTTTTGAAAATTAAACCTCTAGATATTCACTCCGGTCAAAATATAATTTATTTCATTTAATTTGCAGAAAATTAAGACTGAAAAATGAAAATAACCTTGGAAATTTTTTAAAGCTGTTGAATCAAAAAAAAGAACATGCCTAATCTGTACCAAATAATTGTAGCCTTGAGAAAAGCAAAAAAGGAATTAATCATTTGCTGGTTTTTGCGTATCAAAAACTACACCAGAAATATGCAAATTAGGAGAATTTCATTAAAAACAACCTTGACAATTTTTATTTCTCTCTGGCACAATTTGGTCAGTTTGGCAAAAATATCATTATTTTAATTCAACTAATTTATCATTCATGGATAAAGTAGATTTATTACACAAAGTTTTAAAAAATAATTTAGTTGCTAAATAAGTGAGTGATTGAAAATATTTTCTAAAAATATTACAAAATAACTAAAATGCAGAAGTTATAAATTTTTTAATTTGTTTTACCGTAGGTCCATATTCCAAACGAAAGAATCGTCTGTAACTGAGAAGAATGATAAAGTAGGATAATAAGTATAAAATTGAGATTTATAGCAGATTATGATCAAGAATTGAAATGAACTTGAGTCTTATATTCAACGGTGTAATTTGCATCTTGATAAATTTACTTGAAGGTACATCAATAATCAATTTATAGTTTACCTATATGGCTGTGATCTAATCTTTAATACTTCAGAATGTCTTCCGTGGCAGTTTGATTGCCAGTTTGGTTCTCCAAGGTGTATTTCTCACTATAAAGTTAATGATGGCGCTATTGATTGTTCATCTGGATTTGACGAAGGTTTATATTTTAGTTCCAATTTCGTATTTTAAGCTACTAAAGTTATTTGAAGGAGAAAATTTACTTTGCGTTTGACACTGAATAAAGTGAAATATTTTTAATCAGCTTCATATTAGCCAAACATTTAATGCATATCAAAATTTTAGTAAATTAGCTATGTATGTTACATCGTTGTTCCAGTAATTACTGAGTGGTAAAAATTATTTAAAAATCGTCTTCAGGCTGCCCGCCACACAATTTTGTTTGTGCTGATAAGAGTGCATGCATTGACTTCTCGCAATATCAAGATGGAGTAGCACACTGCGAGGACAAGTCTGATGAACGTAAGTTTTTGCTTTTCAAAAATGTATTGGTCAGAGAACTTTTTTTGAAATCTCTCTCCAAGTTTTTTTGGAAAATATCGTTTGAATATCATCGAATTTGCTTCATTTTGATTGTGAAAAAAATGCGAGATTGAAAAATGCGTGAAAATTCGACAAACTCAAAATAATTAAAAGCTTACTAGTGAAAAAGTTGTTTCAGTTTTTCAAACAAGTGTTGTTTTGTCTTTCTAAAGTAATAATTTTGAATATTGAAGAAATTGATTGAAGTTCTTTACATTAGGATAAATTCGAAAAAATAATAGGCATGCTCTATTGCTGCTAATAATTTTCCGTTTTTGATTATAGCCTGTGCTGCTGGTGACTTTTTGTGCAACGATCATTCACAGTGCATTGAGGGAAAACGATTTCAAGATGGTGTCGCTGATTGCAAAGATGGTTCAGATGAAGGTCACATTCAATTATTTTTTTGACTACTTTTTGAAAATTGCTTATCGATTCATAGTCGAAGACTTGGAAATTTATTTTTATTGTATATCAGTATACATCATAACATTAACTTTAAATCGGAGGTAAAATGTCACATTATTTACATAAATAATTTTATTTTTCAAGAGCTCTGCTACTAAAATTTGGAGTGATTTCCATGAAACTTGTTAAACTTGAATGTATGCTGACCTTACAAAATTATTAAATAAGAGCTGAAAACTGATGATATTCTCAGAATGTACAGTGACTCAGTTTGAATGTAACTGTGGTAAGATTCAATGCGTGGATGGAGAAAAGTTGAAAGATGGTCGAAAAGATTGTGAGGATGGTTCAGATGAAACTCCTCCATCTGTCGAAACGCACTGTCCAGATGGTCAGCCAGTAAGGGCAAAACGAGCTAGGAATCGTACTGTACTTTATCCAACTTACAATGCTATCACAAAATGCCCTGATCCATCTGTTTGCAGCGAACGGTTGGGAGAAATATGTATTGTAAGTTTATTTTCTCCAGAAAAGTCTTTGGAAGTAATTAGAATTCATCTTGGTGCATCGATATTGATTGGCAAGATTTTCCATTTACAACATATCCTTTATCAAACTTATTGACCCAAGCCTAGCTGATAGCAATATACTTGTTTGACTCAAATCACTATTATAAAATCTTGGAAAACTATCTTCATTTGTGAGCATAAAATAAAGTGTTATTAACTTTATGATGTACAGCAGAAAGTTTATAGATGGTCGGTGGAGCAACGCATTGCGTGTGCAAAAAGGGTACAGTTCGACCGCATGGCTCACCGCGTTGTGTGCTGGAAGCACTGCTGCAGCAGTATCTTAATAATATAATTGGAAACTGCACCGAAATACAAAAGGACCTAATCGAAGTTTATGGGAAAAAAGTTGAATTTTCAACGTCAGCGCGAAATACTCATGCCAGAAGGCAACACGAATGTGATCCATCTGCAAATACTCCTTGTAAAGGTTAGTGAACAATTATATTGCTTGCAAATATTGCATGAGTAATTCGCTGGTAATTAATAATACAAATATAATCAATTTCATTTTTGTGGGCTCAATTTTACAGGACTTAAATTATTTTTAAAAGTTTGAATAATTCTTGGCTAAAATTTAATTACACAAAATGATAGGAGTAAATAATTTTATCATTAGCATTTGAAATATAAGCACGTAAAAAATTTAATTTAATTAAATTAAGTGTTTAGACAGTCACTTTGTTCACTTAACATAATTATTTAGAGAGTTAAGAACTTAACTTGTCTAATAATTATTCTTAGGATATGGTGAAGTATGTCAATTTGATTCAGCTAATCAGTACCGTTGCACATGTGCTAATAATGCAACTCGCATGAACGGCGTTTGCTTAGGTAAGTTTTAAAAAGGACATTTGACTTGAAATTGAAATTCAGTCAGTGTAAAGCATTAGGTTCGAGCTACTTTAAACTGAAATTGAAGGTCAGAGCAGTGGTAAATTAAAAGTCAGAGCAAAAAGGACATGTTATACTTTTTTAAAACTGATGAATAATTTTTTGAAAAGCTTCAAATTCGAAAGCGTTTAATTGATCTTGTAGTGAATGAATGCGCAAGTGCACAGCTGAACGATTGTGATGCAAATGCGTCCTGTATGGATAGTCCAACATCATATGAATGCTTTTGTAATGAAGGGTACATAGATATGTCTACTTCACCTAAAACTCGACCTGGAATCAAGTGCGCAAAATGTTTGTTTTCTAGTATTGTTATTAGTTTTAATTGCTTTAGAGATAATTTCTCTTCTTTAAATAAATTTTTTATAACTTTGAAATATTGTTTCAGCATCTTCTAGAGTGGTAAATTAGATCTAACAAATATCACAAAGTATTCTGAAATACAGCACTTTAGATTGATTTTTTTTCGCTAATATTAATTCATTCTGAAGGTCATTTGCTGGTTTTCGAAATTATCGATCATATTAAGAAATTTGTTGCTCAGAATCTGATTTCCATATATATTTTCAATAATCATACCTTCTTCAAATGCTGTAGTAAAAGATTACTGTTCATGCATGACCTTCAAATTAAAAGTGAAAATTCAATACTGTGGACAACAACACTAATCCATAATTGACCGTCAATAAAGGAGTTTTCAAAGAAATGATTAAAATTTATAACTTCTCCTGCAATTTTTATTTGTTTTCGGACGAATAACTTACCCAAACTTATTTTACTAAACCTTGAAGAAAGACATTCAATTTTCTCAGCATTATTTGAGCAACAAAATAAAAGGCAATAATTCCATTCCGAAAAAAGTTGAGATAAATTTGAAGTCAAAATTCATAGAAACTTTTGTTCGAATGTAATGCCTGAAAAACTTTGCTCACAGTTCTAAAATTACTCATATATTTCGTCTTTTGCATTCCGAAACGATGAAATAATAATTTTTTAGTGGTGAATGAATGTGCTTCATCAACTACCAATGAATGCGATAAAAACGCGGACTGCATTGACAAACCAATTGGTTATACATGCCGATGTCGGGATGGTTTTGTAGACATCTCAAAAGGTGGAGCGAGAAATCCCGGAAGGAAGTGTCACAAATGTATAGCTCGTTTTTTTGCTATAAATCCCTCTATAATCTTGATTAATCTAATTTCTTGAATTATATGCTCAATTTAGTTATAGCTGAAGATGTAAGCATTAACACTTTACATACATAAGTTAGTTTTTGCAACCGATTTTATTTCTACAAAATGTACAATATGTCAGCAGCAGATTGTTGATATTTTTCAACGTGTTTATTTCGAAATATATTTGAGCTGACTGTAATTAGTTATTGCGATGGAATTTCAAGCCAGTAGACAATAAGTAATTCTTACAGCTTATATTCCATCTTTTCATCTCCAAGTGATTTTACCTCAGTGATTCATCTTTAACTGTTAATAATTTTATAGTAATAAATGAATGTCAAGAAGGTTTGTCCGATTGTGATCCTAAAGCAAAGTGTATAGATATGACAAGTGGTTATACTTGTAAGTGTCCACATGGTTTCACTGATTTGTCACCCAATCCAACCAGTAAACCTGGAAGAATCTGCTCGCAACGTAAGATTTTAAGCATGAGAATTTTAAACATGGAGATTTCATGTAGTCAAATCTATTTTCAGTGTTGATTACATTTTGATAAGCATTTCCTGATGTACATCGTTGTCAAACTCAATCTGATACAAATATGAAACGAAATATACTGAATCTTAATTTGGTCACGTTATGCATTCAGCAATTTGTTTCAGTTAATAATACATGCGATTCACCAAATTTTACTGGTTGCAAATCAAATACTTCAAAATGCATGGGTACTAAAGATGGGTTTGTGTGCCGATGTGTTGATGGATACCTTGACTTGAATCCTGCAAGTCCTGGAACGAACTGCTCTAAATCAGGCATGTTAATTTCATTTTGCTATGTAGTTGAAATTATTTTCAGCCTGAGACTGAAATTTGACAACACCTAAAATAATGTGATATTGTTGCCTGTGCTTGAAAACTTTAAAAAATTGATTGGATGCATCAACATTACATTTACACTTAAATATGAATGAAATAACGCTCTTTAAATTAAGTCTGATATGATACGCTAGAGGTCAGCGCTCACAAACTGATAATTTGCTGATAATTAACAATGAAATGTTGGCAGTACTGGTTAAGTAATTGCATAAAAGATAAATTAGAAGTTAAGAGAAACAAAATGGATCAAAATGAATAATATGCAAGGACAGGAAGAGAAAGGTCATCGAAATGATCACCGGTTGTCGATGCAAACCGCAATGTAAAACAGTTCGTGCACAAGACAGGCAAATAAATAATTAGGTAGATAGAGGGTAGGTAGTTCATTTGGCAGACGGATCAAAATTGTAATTAGTGGAAAAAGGCAAGAGCCGAGGAGTTAGTAGTCAATTGGGTGAATTTACGATCGACAACGGAAAGGTGCGAAAAGGAAAGGACCTACTATTCCCCCAAATGTTGATCGCACGGGTATTTATTGTTCTTCATCTGTGCTGACAGATTTCACATCGTTGACTTTCAGTTTTCTGATAGCGTTTAATGTAAATTATTTCATGGTAGAAATTGACGGCGCATAAATCTAAAGACCTCAACATAGACTGAGGATAGTCAGATCGTTATAGATTAAGAGATTGAACTGAAAGGACGGAGTTGGAATCACGTTAGGCTGAGAAGAAACCCAGATCGGCGGCAATTTGCGACTTGATAAGGCAGCAATTATAATATTAACTACTACTTGAATCTACAATTTTCTTCCACTCCATACCCTATGCTAATTACTGATATCACATATGACCTTCCCGCTAGGACTTACTGGAATTCAACAGATATTTAATGTGAACACGAATTATTTCAAGTAACCCATTTCTTTTGGTCAGGCAATATTTAATTCTGATAAATGCGGCAAATAGCAGTATTACTTGTAGCAATCCTACTCTTTATTCAGTCATCTTTGATTCATACCATCGGTTGGTTTACAGATTTTAAACAATTAATTTTCGATTTCAAGTAAGCGTTTTTTAAAATTATGAAGCAATCTACTTTCATCTAGTAGATAAAAAATGACATCTTGTTTGAAAAAGTAATGTTTTTTAACTAAGGTTCATTTTTTGAATTGCAGAAAATTACTGCAGTTAGTTGTAAGGAATACACAAAATAGATAATTACTTTGATTAGAAATTGCTTCATTTGGTCAATCAGAAAAAAACCTATTTAAGACTGATGAAAAATAGTTGAAAAATGAAAACTACGAATTTGGGTATTTGTTTACTTTCTAAATATCTATTGCTAGTGCTTTGGTTTTAACTTAATAATTTCTTAATTTTGAACCAAAATAATTAAGTAAAACAAAGCAAAAAATAGTTGAAATATTACTATTAGTTAAATTTGAGATTTTAGTTTTTTTGATTATTTGTAAACAAAAATTTAAGGATTCCGTCAGTACTTTTCACTTTTAATCATTTGACTACTGTATAAAAATTACTGAATGAGAGCTTATTTTATTTTAATGCAAGTGCGATCACTTTAAACCAAAGAAAGTGATAGAATAGAAAGTTTAAAAATTGATATTAATTTTTGCTAAAATATTTCAACGGTGAATAAGATGAAATTTTGTGATCTCAATGATGAAATGTCCTAAATTTTTCGAAACACAATACCACGTAACTTCAACACAACAATGAACAAAACAAATATTTTGCATATATTTCTTCGATAACTTGCTTCTGTCTCTCATACATAATTGCAAATGTCTTCACATCTCGCAGTTAGAGGCTTTCTGCTGTTTACTTCTCGGAACATAGAACAAAAATTATTACAGCTCTTCATCTAAATGCTCACAAAATCATTTTTACTGAAACTGAACTTAAATATTTTTCAACATTTCGTGATCGATTTTGCTTTGTTTTTAAAAATTTTAGGATTTCCAATATTTTTGCGTCGAAATCAAAAATTGTTTGCAAATTTTTCACTGGTATAATCTAATTTCACCCAAAAAAATGTAAATCCCATCTTTTCTGAAAAAAGACAGTTTCATTTATTTTGCCTCAAAGAAAAGTATTTCTAACTTAATGTATGAAAAATCTACTAAAACATTACGCTTTTGTTGAGGTATTATTTTGTTTTCTTTATAAACTCTCGAAAAGAACATCTTGTGTTGGATTTGTAAATCATAGAAAATGATTGTTAGCCTGACATGGTGAGAAGTATCATTTTTTTCAAAGTGAAATAGGTTAAAAATATTGTTGTTTTGGAAGCGGTAACAGAAGTATTCATTTCTTTAATTAGAAATTGCTTCATTTGTCATTCAGATAAATAGACCAAACGAGAATTAATTAAAAAAATCAAATATTTCATCTCTGCTAAACATACATCTATTTTGATCCTGATTTAGCTATATTGCGTGTAAAACCGAACAGCACTTCAAAATTTATCATTTTCGGCTACAAATCTGGTATATATATTTGATATTAGATGTTAGGTGACATATTAATCAGTTCAAAACTTTTTGTCTATCTAGCTCACAAATTATTTACCAAATTCTGATTTTAAATTTAATCATTTTTTTTATAATCAAAAGGCTAATTTGTTTAACATTACAGTATCAGATCCATGTCAAGATCAATCGTTAAATGATTGTGATACCGTGGCAGAATGTTACAGTGAGCAGCCAGGTTACTTTCAGTGCCGTTGTCCAACAGGCTTTGCAGATATATCTGAAGATTTTCGATTTCCAGGCCGTAAGTGCAAAAAAGGTTGGCGGTTGTGTAATAATTTTACAAAAACCAATGTTAGTTAACAACAATCATTTGTACATTCTTTACTCCTTTGAGAAATAAATTAGAGATATTTGGATATTATAATTAAGATCGTAAAGTCAGTTTAAAATAGTTTATCTAAGTTTAGACCATTACATCTTTTTGAACAGAAATGAGCAGCAAAGTTTTGAAATGATTTGTGCTCTTCATTTGCACGTGTGAACCTTCTATTGAGCAAATAACGATAGTCCGCATTAAGAATCTGTTGAGAAGATAAATTGAAAAGCAGAAAAAAATCCTTAAGTATACTTTAAATAGGTGCATCAAAAAGGAAAAAATTCATAATCAAAATTGCAGATGAAAATAATGAAAAGCTGTGCATAATTTTTAGTGGAAGATATATGAATGAGTATGTTGAAAATTGCAGTGCAAACAATTTCAATCGAAATATGTAATTATGAAGAGAACCAAAATTTAATTACTCTTCCATAAATATTCCTTTAAAAGAAGTCACAAACTTCGTGTAATACTGAGCTCAGAAGAATGATGTTTGTAATGACAAGTGTCTCTGCGACGGTTTGATTCAATCAATTGAGGGTAATGGGTAATGAAAAGATGAAATTGAGAAATATTGCACTACAAAGATTTCGGACTTTGTTGAGCGGTTAGAGAATGACCAGTATTGTGTGTTCGCAATGCATTTATGTTCGTTTTTTGGCAGAACTTTCTTGGAACTGCGATAAATTAATCAAAAATTATCTTTTCAGTTATTAAGAAAAATCCTTTAAATGTTTGCGTAAATGGATAAATGAACAAAGAGTCAAAAGTAATCATTTCCAAAGTGTTTGGATGATTTTAAAAAAGTAATTGAAGTTCAGCGCATTTGAGTTAAATGCTGTGACGTTGGTTCACCATCAAATGAGCCAAGTAGAATTTTTTGCTGGAAAAAACCTTTTCTAGGTGAACATCAGACTGAAAAAGTAATAGAACTAATTATGCAAAAAATGTCAAGCAATACTTTAGTATGTTACTTTTGTCTGATTGAGATTTCCTTTCTGAACAAATAAAATATTTTTACGCAAGCAACAAAAAACGTCAAGGATAAGTAGATTGAATGGATTTATTTCATTCTTTTAAGCTCATTTTATTGTTCAAAATAACTTTGATAAAATGCTCTATAAAAATGCACTATTGATATTATAAAAAGTGGCATTTTACAAATAAGAATATAACTAGTTATTAAAAAAAATAAGTTCATAAATATCAACTGCAAAATGTAAGCAGTTGTTTTAGTAATTTACAATTTCAAGACAACTGCTAAATACCTGATATAATAGTTTGATAGTGAAGCAAAATCTCAAGAATGTTTTTGTCACTTATAGCCTTGTAAAACAGTACAAAAAAACAACGCACCATGTCCTGAATTTGATGGGAATAGATTAAACTTTTCGGATCTAAACTTATATCTAATTATGAAGTAGACCTGAAATAATGCATAGATACGTTATCTGGATTAGCTTACTTTAAGCTGTGGATGAATGCGCTCTTGGCACACACGAATGTGATGAAAATGCAAAATGCGAAGATACTTTAGATGGATACAAGTGTCATTGTAAGCCGGGATGGATTGATGATGGTGAAAGTCTGCAATTAAAACCTGGACGTGCTTGTAAGAAAGGTACTTTTAAGTATAATTTAAAAATAAAGATTAAGTAAAAATATTCGTACTTATTAGCAACTTCTTTCTTACAATTTGTCTTCTCTCTTCTCTAATCCAAATTTCCTTCAAAATTTCAAGATTTGAAAGTTTAAAATTAGTTTTATCTTTTGATAAGCTGATGCAGAAATTACCTGAATGAATTTTCTAAGTTTAATTCAGTCAATCATTTCTCACTTCTCTCCTTCAGATGAAAGAACTCATTGATATAAGATCACACGGCATTAATTTTTTACAGCAAATCTGTGTGCTAACATTGTTTGTGCGAAAGAAGCTGAATGCCAAGAAACGGACTTAGGACCAGTTTGCGAGTGTTTTTCTGGTTATTTGGATGTATCACGGCAGCATGGAATGGCAGCAGGACACGTTTGTAGGAAGTTAGTTTTGTGCAATTTTCCGATAAAACTATTGAAATGGGATACAAATTTCAGCATAATATCAGCCAGTGAGAGATAAACGCCTATACTAAACTGTCATATCTTTAACAACAACATATGATAGTTTTGTTAAAGATATGACAATTTAGTATAGGCCTCAAGATTAAAAAAAATCAATGTATACCTCAATCCATTCAGAGTAATAAACGAATGCGCAACTGGTAAACACGATTGTTCTTCTTCTGCATCATGCATTGATACTGCAGATTCATTTACATGCCGATGCCGAGATGGATTCCGGGACGAAAGTCCTGATCTGACAAGCAGACCAGGACGAGTATGTGTCAGAGGTTAAATTTTCTTGAAATTCAATTAGTAAAGATTTTCACTGTTTTAGATAAAAAGGAAAACAGTTAAATGATGAAGGTAGATTTCAAAGTAATGTTTCATCTGAACTCAAGATCAAATAAATTTTACTTTTCCATCACAATTTGTCAGGAATAAAAGACGACAATGTTTATGCCTGAAAAAAAGTCAGAAAGCAATTGAATAATTACTTGCAATGAAGAACGAAAATCAAAAATGAACTGTAAAAAAAATAAGTTTTGACGGATAGTGGTCAAAAATGTAAAAAAAATTCTTGTCTGCAAATGGCATTCTTTTAGCGATTATTCCGGAACCTCCTGAATGTGATGTAAATGACCCTATGAGTTGTGATTCTAAAAAGAAGGAAGTTTGCCTCTTCATTAATGGAACTTACAAATGTCAGTGTGCTGCGGGATACGGTCGATTACCAGATGGTCGCTGCCTCGTTATCAACGAATGTGACGATCAGCGACTGAATGATTGTTCTCCGGATGCTGATTGCATTGATCAAGTACATAAATCTTGGTCGATAATCTATGTCTTAGCTGATTTTTTTCAGATAGAAAAAAATATCAGTAAATTTTAAATTTTGATTTTACTTCAGGCTGATGGCTACATTTGTCGATGTCGTAGTGGTTTTGCAGATGTATCTATTCCATCTACACCTGGTCGAATTTGTCGGGCTCGGATCAATGAATGCACAGAACCTCAAAAATATAACGTAGATTGTGACAAGAATGCTGTATGTATCGATACAGATGACGACTACACATGCAAGTAAGCGTCGATTTTGCAACGCTCATCGATATCAAGTTAGCGTGAAACAGTAGTGAAAATCATTAAATTAAGCTTAAGTATGAAGTTATTGAAATGTGAAATAATGAGTCAAATTCTGCAGGTGTCGACCAGGTTTCGCAGATATTTCCAGTTCATTTGAGCGCTTGCCAGGTCGCCGGTGCATTGAAGCTGTGAATGAGTGTTTGAATTCTAACCTAAATGATTGCTCTGAAAATGCCATTTGTGAAGATGCTAAAGAAGGGTAGGCATCGATAATTTTAAACAATAGTTTGCAAAAATGTATTTTTCGAGGTTATTTTTTACAAATTTATCGGAAAGATTTTCGCTTTTTTAGTTCATTGCTAATAAAATCAAAAAATACAAGAAATCTAAAACGTGAAAATATGCAAAATATCAGAATTAATGTTGACACTTTAATGTTTATTTCAGATATATTTGCACATGCAGACAAGGTTTTGTTGATGCATCGCATAATATTACACATTATCCAGGTCGAGTATGTCACAAACCCAAGCATGAAAAAATTAGAGATAATACGATCGTATTACATAATTTAGACAGGTGTGATCCGAAGAAACCAAACTGTCGCACTAATGAAATATGTACGGATCGCAAAGCACGTGGGCAATTCATTTGTGATTGCACAGAAAATGCTTTTAGATTTACGGATGGCACTTGTCGTTGTAAGTTACCTACCTCTTCACTCCAAAATCAGTTATGATTTTAATCAGTTCCTTCCTCTAGGATAGTAAGATCTAAATATTTAAGATTGCAGATAATTTTGCACGGTAAAAAAATGGCTTTAATTAAATTTCTACCATTACTGCTTGTTGGTGATTAATGTACCTTTTCTCTCAACACACTCCAATTACTTTTTGCAGAGCAAATTCTTTGCAAATAATGTAATCAAAAATTTGATGTTTTAAATGCGAGAATGATCTGACCTTTTTAAGAAACTCAAAGGTACATTAATAAATTTATATTACCTTCTGATCATTCCAGCCCTTCGGCCTCCAAACTACTAGTAAGTAGTTTGAAAATTCTTATTTACATAATCTGAGCAAAACTCATAATACTTGTTGTTTGCAGTCTATGCAGCTTGCGTGGGTGTGAATGATTGCGATGAGAACGCTGTTTGTGCGAATGCATTTGATTCATACAAATGCCAGTGCCGCCCAGGTTATATCGATATCTCGCCAGATCCGGCAACGAAACCGGGCAGAGTTTGCAAAGAATGTAAGAAAAATTTGTTTTCTAAGTGCAATATTTTTGTGTTCAAAAGTTTCGTTAATTTTGCTTTAAAGTCCTAATGTCACATAATTATTTAACACCTTTTTTGCCATAATTTGATCGTACTTTTCTCTCTTATTGGATTTAATATAATTTGATTTTCAATTTCATGATTGTTAAATTAAATTTAAGTGATAAACGAGTGTGCTACTGGAAGTCATACTTGCTCACCGCATGCGACGTGTATAGATGCAACAGATGGATATATTTGTATATGTGCTGACGGTTTCGTAGATACTTCATCACAGTTCCAGCTTGCACCTGGACGTCGTTGTAGTAATGGTAAGCTTTACGTAATATATTTATTTAGTTTAGTAATTGGTCGTCGTCGTAGAATACACAGTACATTAGTGATTGTTTGATTGAGCAATAAATTTATGAGCCATAAATCAGTAAAATGATACTAAAAAACAGCCAATAATCCCAATCATTAACATATAATTACTGCAACTGAAAACTGTATTAGTAAGTCTTATAATTCAATTTTAACTAGTAAGTCACAAAACGAACAAGAAATAAGCAAAAAAATGTGGATTACAAAAGTGTTCAATTGACTAGTGGAAAAAATTTCACTAAAAAAAGAGTATTTGTTTGATTTAAAACGCAATCTTTTTTCAAAGAAAACAAAAAAGAGATCAAAATTTTCCATACTGCTTCACATTATATTCAATTTTCAGAATTTTCCGACTTTGCTAAAATATTTTTAGGCTATTATACTACTGTTGTTATGTTTTTGAGTTTTTAGCCAGTAATGAATGTGCGGATCGAACTTTGAATACGTGCGATGAAAATGCGGATTGCATTGACACTCCAGATTCTTATGTTTGTCAATGTTATCCCGGATTTGTTGATGTTTCTTCGAGCGCAAAATTACAACCTGGCCGAGTTTGTACGGTGCAAACAACTTGTCCTAAACAGAAGACTGATCTAATGTTTCTTATTGATGGTTCTGGATCAATTGGTTCCTACGTTTTCAAGAATGAGGTAACTATAAAAAGTAAAAGAAGAAATGCAAAAATCACAAAGCATTTTTGTGTTTATGAACACAAATAGTATTGAAGTATTGTTTTTATTAAGTCAAACTTGCATTTAACAAACTGCAGTTAAGTTTATGAAGTTTCTAAAATACATATTTTTGCACAAAAAAACCTTATGAACTATATTGTAACTTTTTGAAAGGAAACAAAATGTGAAAATTTTGCCAGTTAATTTTACGGTATTCATCTGTTTGTATAGTATATTTTGGTTGCAGGTCTTGAGATTTGTTAAAGAATTTGTAGAACTGTTTGATATTGGATTAGAAAATACAAGAGTTGGTTTAATTCAATATTCAGACCAAATAAGACATGAATTTGATCTGAATCAGTACACTGATAAAACTTCTGTTATCAATGCAATTTCACAAATTCAGTATCTAACTGGCCTTACAAGGTTAGCTGAAATAATAACACTTGTATCAAAAATTTTTCAGTCAAATAGCTTTGTTTTATTTTATTGCATTAAGAACAATTTTATTAGTTGAAAATTTATGAATTTGCAGGACAGGCTCAGCTATTCAGCACATGATTACAGAAGGCTTCTCTGAGCGACGTGGCGCTCGCACGAAAGGTGACGACGTCACGCGTGTCGCTATTGTAATTACTGACGGCCGCAGTCAAGATAACGTAACGGAACCGGCTTTAAATACTCGTAATTCTAATGTAAACATGTTTTCGGTTGGTGTAACAGATCACGTACTTGCATCAGAATTAGAATTGATTGCTGGGTCTCCGTCACGATGGTTTCACGTGGACAAGTTTAATGATTTGGACACTCGACTTCGATCGCTAATTCAAAAGGCGGCATGTCCGCCATCAGATGTACGACCACTTCCATATGGAGGATGTAATCCTACAACACAAACTGGTTGCAATAGAGCATTAAACGAGATCTGTGAACAGGTCATGCTGAAAAAATATATTTATTTATTGCACATTATTATTTGATTTGAAAGTTCATCAAATATTTTAATAATTTTTGAAAACTGATTTATCATATTCTTTTGAACAATACGTCTCATTTTATTTGTGTAAGTCCAAATTCTATAAAATTCGCATAATTCTATCCAGTTTCACGAAGCTCATTTATAGACTAATGGTGTTACACGATGTGTTTGTCCAAAAGAATTTCAAAGACATCCAAGCACCAGGCGTTGTGGTGGTGAACAGTGCAATCCAGATTTACCTACATCTTGTCCGCATCCAGAAATATGCATGATTACGCCGTTCTCAAATTATCTTTGCGTTTGTCCAAAAGGCTTTTCACGAGATTCACGCTCAGGAATCTGTCGTTAGTTGTTCTTTACTACCGAAAAATCATTAAAATTACAATTATCTTGATTTTGTTTTTTTTAGTAGCCTAAATTCTAATTGTAATTAATTTCAGTAGCGTTAGAAACGAAGAGAATAGAAAAACAACAAAAAGAACCAGTTGTTTTGTCATCTCAAGATGCTGATTGTTACAATGGTGGAATGCGTTGTGCAAGCAATGAGCACTGTGTTCTCGGAACCAACAATATCTATCGCGTAAATTCTATTTTGATGAACCTCAGAAACAAAAATTGAAAATCCTCTCTTAAATTTTCATTTTTAACCACTTCTCGCATATCTTTCAAATGTTTGATAACGACAGTCCTCAAATCATTTTTATCTACGTAAATTCAGCAAGCTCAAGCTCAATTTCCCCTAAATTATAGCGTGAGCCATTGTAGTGTGAGTGCATTCTTGGATATGAGCGTAACCTACGCACAGGAGACTGTTCTGTCCCGGGTTTTTGTAATCCAGCATTAGCAAATCCTTGCGACATTCGAAAACGTGAGAAATGCTTATTGCATTCCAGTGGAAATTATTATTCATGTCAATGCAATATTAGTGAGAAGCGACATCCCGTCACTGGAATTTGCTGTATGTTCTCAATTACATTAAGGCATAATATTAACATGTCAAGAAAATCGTAAAATTTTTCGGAAAATTGAAGCTTAAACTTATTAAGATCACTTAAATGAAAGCTATGGAACTCAATAACCTACAATATGGTATTATGTAACAAAGTTCGCAGTCTTACAAGGAAAAAGTGCATGTGAATGCAATTGAAATAATCCTAAATTTCGAAAATTTCGAGCAAAATCCAAATTTTCATAAAAATTAAAAAAATTTAAACAGTATACTTTTCCAAAAAACCAAATAATAACAAGCACAAAAAAGTTTGTTAAATATTACAGTATATAATGAATGCGCTTTGGGAGTTCATGATTGTGACAGTAATGCACGATGCATTGATACTGATGACGGTTTTCTGTGTGTTTGTCGGAGCGGTTTTCTTGATCATAGCATAGATGTAGTGAAAAAACCGGGGCGTAAATGCGTGGCAGAAAAGAATGAGTGTGAAGATGGAACTCATAAATGCTCACCAAACGCTATTTGCACTGATACAGTGCAAGGATATATTTGTCGATGCAAGCCAGGCTTTATCGACTTTTCTCCGAATCCTCAAAGGTGTGTCTTGAGAGTTTAAGCTACCTTATACCACACTTTTGAATTCATATTGATTATTACAAGTTCCCAGCTTCGAACTTGATTTAAAAAGTTTGAAAGAATTTAATATTGTGCGTTGAAAAATTTTGGCGCTTCATTTAATTATAATTTCAAGCTGGTTGTTTGTATCACATCAAAATTAATTCGAAATCCAAATGAGGAATACAAGTTTCAGTTCTCAAATTTTTTAAACGGAATTATTTCCCCAAAAAATTGTTTTATTTAAGCTTTGGTGGTGTTATTTGCAAAGAAATAGTAAATGAGTGCCAGAATCCTTCGCTTAATACTTGCCATCAGGATGCCATTTGCATTGACACCGCTGATTCATATAAATGTATATGCAAGCCTGGTTTTACTGACTTAGACGAACTTCGAGATCCGGGACGAAAATGTCAAAAAGGTTACTTTATTTTCCAAACTATTTCACACACTACAAAATACATAAAATAGTGAAAGTATCCGCATTCTAATTTGAATGTTTGCATTAGCTGCTTTAAGTAATACATAATGTACGTTGCGAGCGAGGTAACAATGAATGTGACCGAAACGCACGTTGTATTCAGCGAGGTACTAACGATTATACTTGTGCTTGTCCAGCTAATTATCGTGATAAAAGTCCAGATCCCAACCGTCCAGGACGAGTTTGCATTCCGTGTATGTTTAAGTTAATTCGAATGTTCAAAAATGTTTTATAAAACATAACTCCTCATATTACCTGCCACTTTTTGTACAATAAGATTTGCAGTGATTCCGGAATGTGACAATCCAACATTGAATGATTGTGATTCTCCTGATCGCGCTATTTGTACTGATACCGATGAAGGTTATGTGTGCCGTTGTCGACTAGGCTTTTTGGATATCTCTCCGAATATTACCTTAAAGCCCGGACGACTTTGCAAACCTCGTAATTTATCGACTTGTTAAACTTTTTTTGCGAAAAATTTGTAATTGATATTTTTAATTGCTATATATATTACTGTTGTTTATGAAACAGTTTTCGGTTTGCATAGCTTCAGTTGAAAACGAGTGCGCTAAAAAACTTGATGATTGTGCCCGAGATGGTGGAATTTGTGAGGATACACCGGATTCTTATACTTGTCGATGTGCAATTAATTACTTGGACGTTTCTTTCGACCGTCAGAATCGTCCTGGGCGCAAATGCAAACGGCGTTAGTCCCTTTAAATGATTAATGATACATTTGATTATTTACTGAAATTTTCTTCCTGATAAGTTTTTGTTCCAAACGCATAATATAAGTACTAAACATTAGTATAAATGCAAAAATTTTCAAAAGCTTTTATTGATTTTGAAAGTAAATTTTAAGATCTCATATTCTAGTGGTTGATGAATGCCAAACGGGACAAAATGATTGTTCACCGAAAGCTACATGTACGGACACGGAAGATTCCTATGAATGTGCTTGTCCAGTGGGATACATAGACGTGTCACCTGATATATCTCACAAACCTGGAAGACGATGTTTATTAAGTATATCTCTCTGTATCATACTGATTAAATACGAGCTGCCGAAATTGATAAATATTTTATTACGAGAAGTGTTGTTATGCACTTGCCCCTGAAAAAAATTATTTATGATCATCTTATAGATTCTATAACATATAACCATAAAATGCTACAGATTTTATGAGTTTGTTACACAATAATATGCTACATATATTAATGTACATATATTAATCTAATATATTCTCGTGTAATAAATAATAATGAAACAACAGTATGATAAATTTTTTAGGAGTTAATGAATGTAAAGAAAATCGACATGACTGTTCAGCAAATGCAGATTGCATCGATACTGCGGAATCATTTATGTGCAAATGTCGAGATGACTTTGTTGATGAATCTCCGAATATTGGCAGTCGACCAGGGCGAATTTGCCGGCCAGCTTTGGTAGATGAATGTCGTCTCGGGAAACACGACTGCCACCAGAATGCAGTATGTCAAGATTTATCTCAGGGTTATACATGCCATTGCAAGTTAGAATTTATCGATGAAAGTCCGAACCGATCCTCACTTCCGGGACGTTTATGCATTCCGAGACCAACTCCGCCACCAGTAGAATGCCAGATCGATGGAAGCGCGTCTTCTTGCAAGCAAGAATTTAAAGAGGTTTGTTCGCTGTTAAATATTAAGTTTAATGCAGTTGATCAGTTCTCGCCGAAAATATGATTAAAAGACTTTCTTGAACTTGTGATGTAAATTAGACCCACTCCATTCTAACGTCTGTCTGAATTTATGTAGTAAAAATGAATCGCACTTCGTTTGCTCGATTATCTTAATTTCATGTTTTTGAAAGAAGTACTAATAGCAGTACTAATAATAGCAGTACTAATGTGAATAATAGTAGTACTACTTTTTTCTTATGTAAAGGATTGTCTCTTTCGACTTAAAATGAGTCATAGCTATTACGTAAGAAGTAATGATAGAATTAAAATTGAAAATTGAATGCAATTATTGAAAATCACTGTAACTATATGAAAAGGTTTGTCGCTTGATCAATAATGAACCAAAATGTACTTGTCCGATCAACTACAACCGTGACCCAATCACAAAATCTTGCACGGTAATCAATGAATGTGATTTTGTACAAATGAATGATTGCCATCCAAGTGCTGAATGCATCGATGAACCTCATTCTTATACTTGCCGCTGTAAGCCAGGTTTCAAAGACATCTCTCCAAGTGACAAACCTGGGCGTGTTTGTCAGCCCTGTATGGTCTTCATTTGTACAAATTTTTTTACATTTCTTTTTAATTCATGCATAAACAGTTGCAATTGAAGAATTGGTACGATAGCATTTTTCAGCTCATCAATTTATGCTTCTTTCCATTTAAACTTTTGTTATTACTTAGGATAAATTCACATTTGTCTCAGTACTTAATACAGTGAGCCTTTTCCTGAACTGATTGTACTCTAAATTTCGGTTTCATCGTAAATACTAGCTTTAATATTCAGTCTCATATGAAAGAGTACGAGATTTCTAGAACAAATATTTGAAATCAAAACGACTTTCAAAGTAGTTGACAATACAGACAGCATTTGAAACCCCGAATTGAATTTGAAGTTTCATGGATAATATAAAACTTTTTTTCATGCACAATGTAAAGATCTGTTTCAGAAAAGATGGAACTAAACAAATTCAAGTTTTTCTCATTATTTCAATCATTTCAGTGACTTCAAAATATACTTAGTTAGATCATGATTTAAGATATTAATGAGTGTCAGTTCCCACACTTGAACGATTGCCATCAAAATGCTAAATGTATCGACAAGGAAGATGGCTACGAATGCCAATGTAATCAAGGTTATATGGATAGGCAACCTCAACGTCCTGGAAGATTATGCAAGAAAATGGTTGATGAATGTTTAAGATCAGAACTAAACAGGTATGCCTTTTTCTTGTCTCCAAAAACTAATTCAAATAACAAGGAGATAAAGGACGAACAGTTTTTACACTGTTTTATTCCTATGCTCTAATTTATTCTGTTCTTTTTGCTGCGATAAATTTAAGATAGTTAGCAGAACTTTGTTGGAAACGACAAGAATACTTTATCAATGACTTTCAATTATTCTTCAGTACAACAAGTCATACAACAGATCATCAATCTCATAACTTTTAG